TAGCAAGAACAAAGAACGACAAGGCTTCTGGTCCAGAGGACATACCAAGCGAATTCTGGAAAATGCGGATGGCTCGGTGCCTCATGGCTTGCAGGCCTCTTCAATCAGGTCATCCAAGCCAAGAGCATGCCCCATGATGGCCAAAGAGCACAACGATTCCGATATGGAAAAGGCGATATCGCAGATTGTTCAACGTATTGAACAATCCGACTGATGAGCCACACTCTGAAGATCTTCGAAAGAGTACTTGAAACACGATTTTGAGAGATCATAGAATTGCCATCCAATTAGGTGGATTTGTAAAGGGTGCCGGTACTGCTGACGCCAACCATACTGTACGGATAGTGATGGAAGAGTTTAGAGAAAAACAAAGAGAACTTCATGCGGTTTTCCTTGATATGGAGAAACCTTTCAAGGTACCCCATGATGTCTTATGGTGGACACTGCGGAACATGGTTCCAGAAGTATAAATCCAATGGATAATAATGATCTATCACGGAGCCACGAGTCATGTGCAAACCGCGGCAGGACAGTCAAAACCATTCCGCATAAAGACCGGCGTGCAGGGATCGCTGCTCTCTCCTTTATTCTTCATCACAGCTACGGATGCGGTGACGGAAGGTCTCAAGCGACAGCCTCCACGGATTCTCCTCTATGCAGACGATGTGGTGTTGATGGCAGAAGACAGAAAAGAAATTGAAGAAGAAGCACAGAGATGAAGGCACCATTAGGGTCGTACGGCTCAAAGCTCAACACAAAGAAGACAGAATAAATGTGAGTGGGAGGTCAAACATCTGAAATCATATACATCGATGAGAAGTCAATCAAGAAAATGAGTACCTTCAAGTACCTAGGAAGTTGCATCTCTGGCGAAGGAGGCCTACATAATGAAATATCTGCCAGGAAACGCATCAATGAAATGGAGAACCTTTACAGGAGTTCTATGCGATAAGCGAATGCAGTGCCACTCAAATCTCAAATATGCCGTACTGTGATCCGTCCTAAAGCGCTGTATGGCAGCGAATGTTGGCCCAGTGCGCGAAATGAAGAATACAAGCTCAAAGTCCTGAAGACAAGATGTTGCGGTGAATCTTGGGTGTCACCCTGCTAGATCATGCTGTTATGAAACTGTTCGAGTAGGATGAAATTGCTCCCATCGTTAAGAAGATGCAGGAATAACGACTGCGATGGTACGGTCATGTGAGCAGAGGAGATAGACCATATCACAAGAGTGGCAATGTCTCTGAGGTCGTTGGAGAAGGACCACGGGGAACAAATGAGGTGGTAAACAGAATCAGAGCTGGCCTGAAAAAGCTTGGGATAGACGAACGTCATGCCTTGAATCGAGAATACTGGAGACAGTCGGTTTGTACGACTCTAGGTAAGCGGGGAAATGCGAAGATAAAAAAAGATTCGCTTCAAAATAAGTTTATCTTCAAAAATCCATAATGTGATAGGAAATCGTCAACCTCATAAAATTTTCTTCGTTCAAGAATATATTAAACTATTGCAGCAGATAATAGCAAATTTCAAATTGTAACAATTTATTAAGCTCTGAAATTGTATGTAATTACATAATGTATATTGTTAATGCCATTCTACACTCTGTTTTACATTAATTTGATGCCAT